CATGGGTCCCTGTACGGCCTCCCATTGCTGCTGTCTCCATCGCCACACTCTGCCATGTGCCACTTTCAGGTCTCCTCACACACTGCTGGTGTGTAGAATTTTTTGACATAGGGTGCTGGCAGATTAAGGGCCTCCCATAGCTGCTGCCAGGCCCCTAATCTGCCATAGGCCCCTATATACCGCCTCCTCATGCTGCAGCTGCCAGGGTCCAGAGTCTGTCATGGGTCCCTGTACGGCCTCCCATTGCTGCTGTCTCCATCGCCACACTCTGCCATGTGCCACTTGTGTAGAATTTTTTGACATAGGGTGCTGGCAGATTACGGGCCTCCCATAGCTGCTGCCAGGCCCCTAATCTGCCATAGGCCCCTATATACCGCCTCCTCATGCTGCTGCCAGGTCCAGAGTCTCTCATGGTCCCTGTACGGCCTCCCATTGCTGCTGTCTCCATCGCCACACTCTGCCATGTGCCACTTTCAGGTCTCCTCACACACTGCTGGTGTGTTGAATTTTTTGACATAGGGTGCTGGCAGATTACGGGCCTCCCATAGCTGCTGCCAGGCCCCTAATCTGCCATAGGGCCCCTATATACCGCCTCCTCATGCTGCTGCCAGGTCCAGAGTCTGTCATGGTCCCTGTACGGCCTCCCATTGCTGCTGTCTCCATCGCCACACTCTGCCATGTGCCACTTTCAGGTCTCCTCACACACTGCTGGTGTGTAGTAAATTTTTTTGACATAGGGTGCTGGCAGATTACGGGCCTCCCATAGCTGCTGCCAGGCCCCTAATCTGCCATGGGCCCCTATATATACCGCCTCCTCATGCTGCTGCCAGGTCCAGAGTCTCTCATGGGTCCCTGTACGGCCTCCCATTGCTGCTGTCTCCATCGCCACACTCTGCCATGTGCCACTTTCAGGTCTCCTCACACACTGCTGGTGTGTGAAATTTTTTTTGACATAGGGTGCTGGCAGATTACGGGCCTCCCATAGCTGCTGCTGCCAGGCCCCTAATCTGCCATAGGCCCCTATATACCGCCTCCTCATGCTGCTGCCAGGTCCAGAGTCTCTCATGGGTCCCTGTACGGCCTCCCATTGCTGCTGTCTCCATCGCCCACACTCTGCCATGTGCCACTTTCAGGTCTCCTCACACACTGCTGGTGTGTTAATTTTTTTGACATAGGGTGCTGGCAGATTACGGGCCTCCCATAGCTGCTGCCAGGCCCTAATCTGCCATAGGCCCCTATATACCGCCTCCTCATGCTGCTGCCAGGTCCAGAGTCTGTCATGGGTCCCTGTACGGCCTCCCATTGCTGCTGTCTCCATCGCCCACACTCTGCCATGTGCCACTTTCAGGTCTCCTCACACACTGCTGTGTGTGTAGAATTTTTTGACATAGGGTGCTGGCAGATTACGGGCCCCCATAGCTGCTGCTGCCAGGCCCCTAATCTGCCATGGGCCCCTATATACCGCCTCCTCATGCTGCTGCCAGGTCCAGAGTCTCTCATGGGTCCCTGTACGGCCTCCCATTGCTGCTGTCTCCATCGCCACACTCTGCCATGTGCCACTTTCAGGTCTCCTCCACACTGCTGGTGTGTAGAATTTTTTGACATAGGGTGCTGGCAGATTACGGGCCTCCCATAGCTGCTGCCAGGCCCCTAATCTGCCATAGGCCCCCTATCCTCATACCGCCTCCTCATGCTGCTGCCAGGTCCAGAGTCTCTCTGGTCTCCATCGCCATGTGCCACTTTCAGGTCTCCTCACACACTGCTGGTGTGTAGAATTTTTTGACATAGGGTGCTGGCAGATTACGGGCCTCCCATAGCTGCTGCCAGGCCCCTAATCTGCCATGGGCCCCCCTATATATACCGCCTCCTCATGCTGCTGCCAAGGTCCAGAGTCTGTCATGGGTCCCTGTACGGCCTCCCATTGCTGCTGTCTCCATCGCCACACTCTGCCATGTGCCACTTTCAGGTCTCCTCACACACTGCTGGTGTGTTGAAATTTTTTGACATAGGGTGCTGGCAGATTACGGGCCTCCCATAGCTGCTGCCAGGCCCCTAATCTGCCATGGCCCCTATATACCGCCTCCTCATGCTGCTGCCAGGTCCAGAGTCTGTCATGGGTCCCTGTACGGCCTCCCATTGCTGCTGTCTCCCATCGCCACACTCTGCCATGTGCCACTTTCAGGTCTCCTCACACACTGCTGGTGTGTTGAATTTTTTGACATAGGGTGCTGGCAGATTACGGGCCTCCCATAGCTGCTGCCAGGCCCCTAATCTGCCATGGGCCCCTATATACCCGCCTCCTCATGCTGCTGCCAGTCCAGAGTCTGTCATGGGTCCCTGTACGGCCTCCCATTGCTGCTGTCTCCATCGCCACACTCTGCCATGTGCCACTTTCAGGTCTCCTCACACACTGCTGGTGTGTTGAATTTTTTGACATAGGGTGCTGGCAGATTACGGGCCTCCCATAGCTGCTGCCAGGCCCCTAATCTGCCATGGGCCCCTATATACCGCCTCCTCATGCTGCTGCCAAGTCCAGAGTCTGTCATGGGTCCCTGTACGGCCCTCCCATTGCTGCTGTCTCCATCGCCACACTCTGCCATGTGCCACTTTCAGGTCTCCTCACACACTGCTGGTGTGTTGAATTTTTTGACATAGGGTGCTGGCAGATTACGGGCCTCCTATAGCTGCTGCCAGGCCCCTAATCTGCCATAGGCCCCTATATACCCCTCCTCCTCATGCTGCTGCCAGTCCAGAGTCTCTCATGGGTCCCTGTGTACGCCTCCCATTGCTGCTGTCTCCATCGCCACACTCTGCCATGTGCCACTTTCAGGTCTCCTCCTCACACTGCTGGTGTGTTGAATTTTTTGACATAGGGTGCTGGCAGATTACGGGCCTCCATAGCTGCTGCCAGGCCCCTAATCTGCCATAGGCCCCTATATACCGCCTCCTCATGCTGCTGCCAGGTCCAGAGTCTGTCATGGGTCCCTGTACGGCCTCCCATTGCTGCTGTCTCCATCGCCACACACTCTGCCATGTGCCACTTTCAGGTCTCCTCACACTGCTGGTGTGTTGAATTTTTTGACATAGGGTGCTGGCAGATTACGGGCCTCCCATTGCTGCTGCCAGGCCCCTAATCTGCCATGGGCCCCCTATACCGACTCCTCATGCTGTGACGTTGCAACAAGGTGGAATTCAACCCTACATATGTTAGACCGCCTTTACGAACAGCAAAAGGCCATCACAGATTTCCTGATGTTAAAAGCGGATAAAGGTACTCCCTGTGTAACTTAGATGTCAGCCATTGGCAGCTCATGCGTGACACCTGCGCTTGCTCAGGCCCTTTGAGGAGGCCACGCTATTCGTGAGTCGGCAGGACTATGGGATGAACGACGTCATTCCTCTGTTGCACGTCCTGGAACAAATGCTGTTAACAATGGGCTGGTCAGGGTGCGGTAGACGTGGCGCACAGATCTCAACGCCACATGACCCCTGTGGGGGCAGGACAGGAAGAAGAGGAGGAGGTAGAGGAGGACATTGGTGCTCAGGAATTATTGAGTGAAATGGGTGGTTTTTTCCACTCAGCGGACAGGAGTGGAGGAGCAGGAGCATCTGGTAGAGAGGGAGGAGAGGAGACAGAGGACCCAGACGCACCGTGGCAGTATGCTGTGGAGATGGAGGCAGGGAGTCCCTCGCATTCCTTGGCACAAATGGCCCATAGCATGCTCGCTTGCTTGCGTAGCGACAGCCGAATAATAACCATCAGACAGAGGGATGACTTTTGGCTGTCCACCTTGTTGGACCCCCTCGCTACCGTTCAAAAATGGTGGCCTTTTTCACACCTGCTGAGAGGGAGGCCAAAATAACGTACTATAAAAACCACCTATGTAGTCAGCTGGTCTCTGCCTGTCTGCGCCAACGTCCATCCTCAGACACTGTGGGCCCTGTGCGCTCGCGTTCCGCTGCCATGGCAGCAGGGGGGGGGGGGGGGTGGTAGGAGCAGTGGCAGCTCCACCAGCAGCGGCTGCCTCAGTCTGCAGTCGATGATGAGTAGCTTTCTTCACCAGCGCAGTGAGGAAACTACTAACCAGCCCAGCAGCAGCAGCAGCAGCAGCATCAGGTGGACCTGGAGCAGGACCTCAAACAACAGGCTTAGGCCTACTTGGACAGCACCCTGCCAACCGAGGTAGACAATCCCCTTGACTACTGGGCAACGAAACTTGACCTTTGGCCCCAACTAGCTGAATTTGCCCTTGAAAGGCTGTCATGCCCGGCCAGTAGCGTGGCATCGGAGCGCGTGTTTAGTGCGGCAGGAGGTATTGCAACTCCGCGGAGGACACGACTGTCCACCCAAAGTGTGGAGAGACTGACGTTTGTGAAAATGAATCAGGCGTGGATTAGTCTGGATTTCAAACCACCAGTTCCTGACACAACTGACTAAATCCGCCATGAATCATGCCCCAAACATGTGCCACTTTCAGGTCTCCTCACACTGCTGGTGTGTTCCATTTTTTTCATCATAGGGTGCTGGCAGATTACGGGCCTCCCATAGCTGCTGCCAGGCCCCTAATCTGCCATGGGCCCCCTATACCGCCTCCTCCTCATGCTGCTGCCAAGTCCAGAGTCTCTCATGGGTCCCTGTACGGCCTCCCATTGCTGCTGTCTCCATCGCCACACTCTGCCATGTGCCACTTTCAGGTCTCCTCACACTGCTGGTGTGTTCCATTTTTTTGTCATAGGGTGCTGGCAGATTACGGGCCTCCCATAGCTGCTGCCAGGCCCCTAATCTGCCATGGGCCCCTATACCGCCGCCTCCTCATGCTGCTGCCAGGTCCAGAGTCTCTCATGGGTCCCTGTACGGCCTCCCATTGCTGCTGTCTCCATCGCCACACTCTGCCATGTGCCACTTTCAGGTCTCCTCACACTGCTGGTGGGTTCCATTTTTTGTCATAGGGTGCTGGCAGATTACGGGCCTCCCATAGCTGCTGCCAGGCCCCTAATCTGCCATGGGCCCCCGTACCGACTTTCTTGGAATCCGTTTCCAAGAGACAACAGTTTGCGAGCACTCACCGACGTGCAGCAGAAGCTGAACGAGGGTCCTCCTGTCCCATGCTGCTGCCAAGTCCAGAGCTCTCATGGGTCCCGTACGACTTCCAAATGTCCTCTGTCCCGTAATCTGTCATGGCCCCTGTACCGCCTCCTCATGCTGCTGCCAGTGTTCCAATGTGTCCATGCCCCTAACCGACTCCCTCAATTGCTGCTGCCAGTCCCGTAATCTTGCCAGGGCCCCTGTACCATGGCTCCTCCCCATGCTGCTAGAGCCAGGTCCAGAGTGTGTCATGGGTCCCTGTACCGGCCTCCCATGCTGCTGCCAGGCCCGTAATCTGTCATGGGCCCCCGTACCCACTCCTCATGGCTGCTGCCAGGCCCGTAATCTGTCATGGGCCCCTGTACGCCTCCTCATGCTGCATGCCATTGGTCCAGAGTGTGTCATGGGTCCCTGTACGAGGCCTCCCCATTGCTGCTGTGTCTCTATCGCCACACTCTCCATGTGCCCACTTTCCGGAGGGGTCTCCTCACACACTGCTGGTGGTTTCCATTTTTGTCATAGGGTGCTGTATGGGCCTCCCATTGCTGCTGCCTCCACCGCCACACTGTGGCTCCACACTCTTGGTTTTTTGGCCCCGTGACTGCCCAAATGAGTGAAGTGTGCGGTGATTCTAAGATCGACGGCACCCATCTGCAATGTCTTACTGTCGAGTACTGTATTTATATTCTCTTCCCCCAGCAGAACTCCACAGGGCATGTTAAAATGAAAGGGTACAAGTGTCACCTGCACTAATATAATCCCTCTCTGAAATCCAAGAAACACCCTTTTATAAGTAAATTCACGAGCGCATATATTCGACTCGAATCCAAATTTTTCCAAGGAATTTCGGCCGAATCAATCGGAGAATTTTGGGTTTCTGATTTCTTTTGATGACAAAAAAATGGTAGACCTGGTGGTCAAATTGACATGGTAGGTGGGCATCCTGGAAAAGGTTAAAGGTGCTTAACAACACAAGAAGGGTTTAAAGGGCTGGAAATAGGCCCCCCCACAGGGTGGGGGAAAAGGTAATTTTGGGAAAGATTTCCAAAGGCCAGGAAAAACTCCCCAAATTTTAAGAATGAAAGGTCTAAGGGGAAAGGGGCCCAAAGCTTTAAAAAGGGGGTGTTAAAAAAGTGTTTGATTCCCAAAAAAGAGCCCACCTCTATTACTCAAGGGTCAAAATGAACCCCACAAAATTAAATAAAGCAAAAAAAGGGATGGTCAGAGGAATTTGAGGGAGCACATTGTAAATTACAGGTACCGGCCCCTTAAAGCTTAGGTGTCGGTTACAAAAAGGGACTGAGATTTGTAAACCCCCCATGGTAAAAGGACTGCATAGTTTAAAGGGAAAATTTGAAAAACCCGCTTTTGGAAGCACACTCGTAAAAAAAGGGATGGGGGGTAGTAAGCCCCGACAGGGGAAGTACCCTTTGGGGGAGGGAGTAGTGTCTCCCTTTGATAAAACGAAGTCAGCCAGGATTGGCCCCTTTTCAGGTGAT